TCTGTTACAGACTTTTTTCTCTGTGAGTTGGTGTTTTTCTTTTAATTCCCTCTGCTTCTGGGCCCCTCTTCAGCTCTCGCTCCTCCCACCTCCCTCTCTCTGCTCATGAGGACAGAGTTTCCATCCTGGCCCTGGGCCAGCACATGTATGGGCAAAGGCAGAGCTCAGGAAAAGCTATCTTCTGCTCCCTTTCAGCACGTAAACACTGCCAGTTCCCAGCCCAGGAGCACAGGGCTGAGCCAGAGCTCTGCCTGCAGTGCAGGGGGACTGAGCACCAGCAAGTCCTGCATGGGCTGGACACAGCAGCTTGGCTGCAGTGCAAACATCTCCCCTCCCAGCCCTCCTGCTCCAGTGAGCAGCCCTAGCCTTTACCCCAGCCAGGAATTGCTTGTTAGAAGGCAGACACAGACACATCTCACATTCAGCAAAGGTCATGTGTAACAAACAGTACATGCAGGTAACAGTCAAGCCAAATTCTTGTTTGTGCCAGCCATTAAAAACAAGGAAACCAGAAGATCCCAAGCAAACCTGACTGGCAGTGCCCCAACACTGGGATAACAATCTTGCCCCAGAAAGGCCTCGGGGATGTGCTAGCTCCTAACAAGTTTAGTCAGTAAAAGCTGACCTTAAATCACCGCTAACTCTTGCATCTATTTTGCTAAATCCTTGAAAGTAACAGTGTGCCAGCTGCAGCTGGTTTCCCTAACCTGGGGATGGGAAAAAGCACTGAAGTAAAGAATGAAGATTATACCAGCACTGACAGCATTCATTCCAGCAGGACATTACTCTTTCAAGCCTCTGCCCTTCCAACTATGCCTGACTTCCTTCAGCTTTACCATGGGATAGTACTGTTTCCAAAAAAAGACAGAAATTATGTCCTCAATACACGTTATCTGCATTAAAGAAAGGAGTCACAGTGTTTCAAACTCCTTGCAAGGAAGATTTCCCATGAACCCCCATTTGGGGTTTTTGTTGCACACACAGAGCATACCACATGTGCCCAGCAAATGTTTAGGCAATGTATTTATGAGCAGCACAAACTCAGAGGGTTTCAGCACAGGATCACCCCAGCCATCACGCCAGGATTATCCCAAGAGCACAGCCCCTGTGAGCAGCTCCAAGATGACAGACTGGAACCACATCATGGGTTCAGAGCTGCTCAGAGCTGTCTCAGCACAGCAGAGACTGGACCATCATGATGGCAGCGCCCCAAGGTGTCTTGCTGCCATGAGTTCCCAGCTCACTGAAAGACATAAGCTGGCGAAGACTCACATGGCAGGTAAGAATCCACTGCTTTCATCAGGAAAGGCCTGGGGAATTATGACTTTCACCTCCTCAGTCCCATGTCCACAGACACAGAGCACCTTGACCCAATTGGGTGGTGAACCATGTAAAGGCTGGGAGAGATCTTGAACAGGATCAGCCTATAGGACCTTAAGTATTTATTTTTGTAAGACAGTGCTGATGCTTTTTAGTGCTTTATTTCAACCTTGAACTGACGCTCAGCCTGCTCTGTGCTAAGCTTCCACCAAAAGACACAGACCTCAGCTGTAAGACAGTGCTGATGCTTTTTAGTGCTTTATTTCAACCTTGAACTGATGCTCAGTTCAAGCTCTGTGCTAAGCTTCCACCAAAGGACACAGGCCTCAGTTGAAATCCCAGGACGCAGAGGTCAGAGATTCCAGGGACTCTAGACTGTCTTAGGCACCCACTTCAAGGTCACCCAAGAGCCCTGCAGAAACCACATTTCAATGTAGCACAGCCATTTCAACAACATTTCAAAAGCACAGCCTTCATGAAGCTGGGAGTTCAGTCATATGGTCATCTTCACTAAAACTTGGGCTGAAGCCACCCCCAAACACCATTAATATCCTCACATTTCAGCCTTTGCTTCAGTTTCCAGGAGCTGATAAAGCATCTCCAGGGTGAAGACCAGAAAAAAAAAATCCCACAAGCAAGATCAACGTGGTATTGCCCTTTCCTTAGTATGTGCCCTTACTGCACTTCACAGCTACAGTCGAGCTACAGTCAAGAAAACACTGTTTCTTTTCCTGCTTCCTGCTGTAAAACAGTGCTCACAGATACCTCAGACACAATGTTATTTGAGCTGTATCTAAGCAAAGCCAGGATCACTCATTTACTGTCAGGACTTGAATGAAACAAGAAATTTCTTTCCAGCTCCATCCCACTCCCTCCTTCCCTCGGGAGAGTCTTCTCAGCCTGAAAGGAACTGCTATGCAAGTGCATTAAAAGTCCTATTTCAGCATTTCTTTCATAGTAGAGGCCTCTTCCAGCCAGCTCTTGGGATCCTGCCAACAGACATATCAGCCACTAGTACTTAAATCCTTCCGCTAAAAAACGCTTCCCTAAAGAGCTTGCACCCCAGTTCTGAAGGCCTAAGATCACCACAATTAACCAGCTTCATCAAGAGTTTCAGACTGGTTCTTCCCCACTCTCATGGGTTTACTGGTGCACTACACAGCCTTTTCTCCCCTTGGTCTGGCCTCTGCTTAGGAAGGAGCAGCTTCCACACAGTTCCAGTCAGGAAATAGATGTCAGGTGTTACAAAAGGAAGGGAGGACCAGCTGCTTTGAATGATGCATGCAGGGGATCCAAAAGAACATGGCACTTATCAGACACCTCTGAAATGCCCGGCATCTCTCCATCCTTAAGACTGGCTCTGCCCTTGTGATGATTTCATCGGCAAATTTCTTAAACTTGGGGAAAGATTGAGCTTGCTTCTGTGCTCCCAGAGTGCTCAGCAAAACAGAGATTTTAAGTCCTGTCTGTGTGAATTAGTTGTCACGGCTGATATTAAGAATAACTTCTTGGAAAAGGTACTCCTGGATTAAGATCATCTCTGAAAAACACAGCTTACGGGGTCTTTGTTTATTATCTCCTTGTCAAAATGAACATTTCTAACATGTAAATACAACAGGCATGGGGGAAAGACAAGTCTATTGTAAGTGTCTGACAAAGGATCTAAATGCTCTTCTTGTTTCTGGAGAACAGAAAGCACACACAGAAATTGTCTTTGCAGACAAAATGTCCTAAAAGCTTTCCCAAGGCAGCGAGCTGGGGGCAGTACTGAAAGCAGCACTTTGGGACACTCCACATGCACTTGTGCTCCACAAGGAATACTGCACTTCGGATCCTGATGAACAGGGAGTATCTTCTGCATGAACTGCTAGGATATGGACGTGCCAAAAGCCAACCCAGGCTTCAGCACACAACCTTCTCACCCACGCAGGCAGAGTGGTCCCAGCAGAGCCATAAATCTTTACTCTGCTTTTTGCATCCCTGGCCACTCCAGCGTCCTTTGTTTTCAGTGCTTTCTCTTCCATTTCTCAAAAAGGCGCCTTATTACCCTGGGAAATCCTGTGGCTTTCGCCTCGTTTCCATACTTAGCATTTTCAGTTGCTTCCAAGCCTGACCCAACATAGTAGTTATCCATTTTCACAGGCTGAAACACTGCCTGGATTATTTAAAAAACCCTAACAACAACCAAACAAAACCCCTCAAACCCAACATGCACCAAACCCCACAAACACTACCCCAATGACAACAATTCAGAGCACAACACAAGGGAGGAGGAAATGCATTCCTTTCCTCTGCCAGGATGCAACAACAACTCCCTTTTTGGTGGTTCAGAAAACAGGGCCAGTACACATTATTGGACCTCACTACCACACACCAAGAACCAGCGGTCAGTAAGGTGGCAGCCAACACAGAAAACAGCTTTTTAATCCACCACCAAACAGCATCTCCCCTCACAGTAGCAAATAAAAGCCTCATGGAAATCCCTTTGGTCATCTTTATCCTCCCAGCTGAGTTCCAGGCTGGAGATGCTCTTCTCCAAATGCAACAAACTTAAACAACTACTGAAATGGCAAGAGCAAAGGTGGCTGGGAATAACTCAGGGTCAGGAACAACTTGCTGACCTGTCTTGGAAACAAGATGTGTTTTTGTAAAGAGCAGAATTAAGGGCCCATGCTCAGCACTTAGTCCCTGCACCTGTGAGGAGGCTCCAGTGCCGATCCAAGCAGTCACAAAGCCTCAATCCTCCATGTCCATCACTTTTCCAGCACCAAACATCAAGAGAGATGCTTATTAGACACTCAAAAAGCCAAAACCTCTAAAAGTGTCCCAAATACACCTGGCATGGTTTTACCTCCCGGTTTGCATTTGACACCTTGGGACCACAGCAGCAGCCAGCTGTAACTTCTTCCTTGTTCCCTTCTACCAGCTCCCTGTCCATCAGCGCCCATCATCCTTGGGTACAACAGCGGGAAGGCAAGAAAGTGTTTTTCTCCCCAGGATAAGTGAATACTCCCACCCATGCGCACCGGCAGTCAGAAGTGCCACCCTGATAAACCACAGGCTGCTCACAACTGCAGGCGCTCCTTCCAGCCGAAGGCAAAGTAAGAGGAAAGCAGGCTATCCCACCCAGAGCAGAGAGAGAAAAGTGCAGGGCTAATATCACACGGGGATTCAGGGTTTTGCCGAACCGAGAACTCCAAATGTTTGCTCCGCCAGGGCCCGGGCTTTCCCCAAAGATTGTGCTTAGCGTTTCCTCCTGTTTTGTGCTGGAGCCCGAGGCAGGGCTGAGTTCACTCAGGGGCCCCTTGCTGGGCGGCGGGGCTGCCGCTGCTCCTCCGCCCCACCGCTCCCGAGCCGCTCGGGTCGGCTTTTCAGCGGCTGCCCGGGTCCCCTCGGCCCCGAGCCCCCCGGCCGAGCCCCCGCGCCCGGCGGGAGCAGCAGCCGCCCCGTCCCGGCGGGAAAGCGGCGGCGCCCGGGAGCGCGGGGGGATTCGGCTGGCGGGCCCCGCTTTCCCTCTCTGCAGCCGCGATGAAGAAAAGCCAGATGGGGCGCGGAAGGGAAGAGGGAATTAGGGATTTTTTTGGAGGGGCACCTCTGCCCGCTCTGCCGCGTTAGTGTCCCCCCGGCGCCTCCCTACCTTCCTCGGCGGCGGCGGCGGAGCGGGGGGGCCGTGTCCCGGCATGACGGCGTCCCGTCCCGTCCCGTCCCGTCCCGCCCCGCCGCCGCGCCCGCCCCTCGCTGCGGGCACGGAGCGTCCTGTGCACCCGCCCGGGGGAAGGGGGTGCCCGAGGAAGGCGGCGGGGCTGCGGTGTCCGGGCCAGCAGGGCAAACGGGAGCTGAGGGAAAAGCCGCCGTTCTGCTTGCAGACGGAAAGATTTCCGGGGAAACGTAGAAAGTCCTGACTTGCTATCAACCCGGTACCTGGCACCGGCAGTGGCTTCCCGAGGCTGATGGGGTCACAGACCCAGCGCGGGACAGCACCTGGCCAGGAATGCCTCAAACCTGCAACACGATTTCTATCCCTTGGTCTGAGACTGGGTATTAGGGAAAAGTGCTTCACCCAGGGGGTGGTCAGACACTGGAACAGGATGCCCAGGGCAGTGGGCACAGCACCAAGCCCGACAGAGCTCCGGAAGCGCTGGGACAACGCGCTCACGGTGTGACTCTTGCGGGGTCCCGTGCAGGGCCGGGAGTGGACTCCACGATCCCGATGGGGCCCTTCCGGCTCAGGACATTCAGTGCTGCTACGATTCAGAACTGATGGAGGGGTGAAGGTCCCGGAACCAAGCGCGGTCCCGTCCCGTACAGCCCGATCCCGAGGGGCGCTCCCGGTGCGGAGGGAACAGCTCGGGCACGCGCCTCCCTCACGGCACTCGGCTTCCCGCCAGGCTCTCGCCTCTGGCCCTTTAAGGGGCGGGGCGTCGCCGCGCTCCGGGGCGCTGATTGGCCGGGCGCGCCCCCCCTCCCGCCCCCTGCCCCCGGCGGGGCGCGCACGCAGCGGCGGAGCGCGGGGCGGAGCGGCCGCCGCGGGGGCTGCTGCGGCGCTTGGGGCTGGTGCTGCGGCTCGGTGTCCGCGCCTGCGGGCTCCTGCTGCGCTTCGGGCCGCTGCTGCTGCTCTACCCGCTGGGCCGCCTGTGGCCCGGCATGGGCGCCCGCTGGCTGCGGCTGCTGCGCAGGGCGGCCGAGGCCGCCGGCCCCACGTGTGTCAAGCTGGGCCAGTGGGCCAGCACCCGCAGGGACCTCTTCTCGGAGGCCTTCTGTGATGAGTTTTCCAAGCTGCACGTCGAGGTGAGCCCGCACCCGTGGGGCCACACCGACGAGCTCTTGAGGAAGGCCTTCGGGGAGGACTGGATGGGCATCCTCAAGTTCCCGAGCCGGGAGCCGGTGGGCTCGGGCTGCGTTGCCCAGGTGTATAAAGCCTATGCTGACCTCGCTGCCATCGGCGGCTCCCGGGCGAAGGAGCTGGAGCAGCGCTCGGAGCTCAGGTCTGCATTTGAAGCGTGGGAAGTGTCAGGCTTTAGAGGCCTCCTCGGGTGGCTGAGAAGGAGGAAGAGCAAGGAGATACGGGATGAGAGGAGCAGGGAGGAACTGAGTTCTGCAGACTGCTCCCAGGGAAGTTCCGGGAGTAGGATGTCCCTCATGGAACAGAGGGCCAAGCCTCCCCCGAGCGCAAATCCGTCATCAGCCAGACACACTGAGTTCTGCAGACTGCTCCCAGGGAAGTTCCGGGAGTAGGATGTCCCTAATGGAACAGAGGGCCAAGCCACCCCCTGATCCGTCATCAGCCAGACATCTCGTGCCTGTAGCCATTAAAGTAAGTCATGTGCCGAAATGGCAGAGGTATGAAAATGGGGCATGCTGGACAAGGTCCGTCAAATTTTAGCTCCCACGGAGAGAGGTAGCTGGCCAGGGCCAGGTGGAACAAGAAGGGGTGCTGTCTCTCTAGGTGCCCTTTCTCAGGGCTTTTGTTCCAGCCAGCCACAATCCCCAGCTCTTACCAAACTGAGAGCTCAAGATTTGATGTGGCATGTAGGTACTAGGAATGCCTCCAAGGGCCCAATTTACATTAAAAGAATTAGTATTAAGGTTGCTTGCACCTTCCAGACAGCAAACCTCCTTCTCTGCTTGCATGAAGAAATTTGGAACATAGAAGTGCGTTCCAGCAAAGTTTATTTAAAGAAACCTCATATTTGAGCAGCTTCAAATACTAACAAGGGATGGGGCAAGACTGAAAGTAGTGCAAAATGTCTTTGGGTGAAACTGTAGTCTCCAGCACTGATACACTGAATTTGACAATGATAAAATGTTTCTCAGTGGCAAAATGGGAATTCTTCTGAGGGCTAGCCAAAGAAGCTGGTTGCCTCCCATCCTAATAAGCTGGGTTCTGTATATTTGAAATGTATTACTTGAGCTCATTGCAATGGAGTGTCTGGGGGGTTGATGCTGTCACTGCTCGTTCTTGTGCAGGTCCTGCACCCTGGGCTGGTCCACCAAGTCCAGATGGATCTGTTTCTCATGAAGATGGGCAGCCGCATCATTGGGCTTCTCCCTGGGTTCAAGTGGCTCAGTTTGACAGAGATAGTGGAGGAGTTTGAGAAGCTTATGATGCAGCAGGTATGTGCCAGGCCATGGTCTCCAGCTAAACAAATCTGCCCTTTATCTTGCTCTGGCTGGCTCTAACTCTGTTCACACCACTACATTTAAAATGGGTAGATAAAGGCTAGCTTGTTGTTTACTTCTGTTCTTTAGTCTAATCAAATCACATAACATTACTGTAGGAAAGCTTATACGGTCACAAAGTAGCAAAGCAATGAAAAAACAGTCTTTATTAGATCTAAAATTATTTTTTGGACTTTGAAAATAATGTTTAGACTTTGAATGTGTTTTCTAGTGGGCAGCCTGAACAGCTAGCTAGCCATAGTCAGAGTCCTTTTTGCAGCATTGTGGAAGGTGAACACTGGTGAGACTCCTCTCTTTAGGAAAGAATCTCTCCAAGCAAGTACTCAGGCATGTGGGCTTTTTCTATAATTCTATATATATATATGTTTGCAGTCTGTACTCACTAGTCATGTTTGTTAGAACTGATATATATATATATATAGGCATAAATAATGTTTTCACAGAAGTTAATAACACATTCTACTCTGTATTATCATCAGACTCAGTGTCAGTAAAATTTTGCAAACATCTGAAAACATCTTGATTTACTAATAACACATTCTACTCTGTATTATCATCAGACTCACAGTGTCAGTAAAATTTTGCAAGCATCTGAAAACATCTTGATTTACTAACGTCTTCTAAAGACACAGTCCTGGAATATTGCTACTATCAAACTTACAAAGATCTCACTGCAGGCTTAATTAGGCTTATGTTTCTATAAAATGAGCCATTATCTGCTAATTTCATTTTTGTGTCTAGATTGCAGAGTCTGAAGTCTGCAAGCTTTTGAAAACCTTAATTATTCTCTACAATTCCAAAACCTCTGCACAGTAAATCCATGCTGGGAGCTGTTACTATGGTCAGCTGTGACTCGAGGTCATTCATAGTAGTTCAGCGGAGCTTGGGTGGATTTGCAGAAGACTGAGAGTTAGAACATTTGATAGGTTCATTGTAGCCTTTTCCCTTTGAATGAACAAGGAAGTATTCCTGGGATATTTCCCACTGCCAGACAAGTGAGGTGAGGCAAGGTTATCCTGCCTCCTTGAGCAGTAGCAGACAGCAGGAGAGATACCCTTGTATCAAGACACTGGATCACTGAAGAACCAGGGCCTGGACTTGCCATAGTGGATTATTTTGTATGAATTACATTAAATTTCTTCCTGCTATAGCTGCCTCTCTGTGAAGTGAGGCTGTGGCTGCAGTTCTTCTATCCTGTCTGCCTGCCTTGCTGTTTGGACAGCAAGCTTCCATTCAGGATAGGATTCAGTTTAGGATCTTATTGTATTTTTGAATATAACGTGGTCCTGGTCTATTTTGAGACACCATGCGTCCAGTAAGGCACCCATATTTCAAAGACTGGCACCTGGCTGTGCACCATCCATTGTCCAGTCTGCTCCTCTTCCATCAGGGAGGCTATGAGCGTGTAAAAAGCACCACCCTTTGTTTCCATTCTGGCTTTCTGACTAGTTTTGTTGGTATTGAGTATTGCAGCTCACACAGGATCCTGAAGATCTAATCCTAGGTGATTCTGATTTCCAACCTGATTTTCTATTTGTCCCTTGAGATTGACTTACGCTATGAAGCCAGAAATCTGGAGCGCTTCCGACAGAATTTCCTAGATGTCGATTTTGTGAAGTTTCCAACTCCCCTTTGGCCCTTGGTAACGGCAGATGTTCTAGTGGAAACATTTGAGGTAAGAATTGCAGGGTATGGGTGCGATGGTAGCAGTGAGAAAGTCCCAGGGAGACCATGGCAAGGAGGTGTTTCTTTTTGAGAAGGAGGAACCAAAGGCAGAAGAATGCTTTTTTTCTTTTTTGCTTAAGGAGATTGATGTCCTTCCTTAGTGTCTCTTCCACTCTTTTGGTTTGAAAGCAGTGCATCCCTGAAGACAGGTAGCAGACAACTGTATAGAAGTGAGCACTTGGCCTGAAAGCAAGCAGACCAGCAGTGGGTGCAGCCACCCTGTGCTTGCCTGTTCTTTGCAAACCAACACCATGCTTCACCTCTCCTCTGTGCTGGGTCAAAGCAAGGAGCTCAGCAATCTGACACTTTCTGATCCTTGCCTCACTTCCCTTGAGGATGTTTGAGTCACAGACCAAAGCTACTCTCAGGCTTAGTTTTCCTGCATGTGACCCTGGCAAGGGTGTTTCTGTCCCTGGAATACCATCTGTCTTTCCAAGGAAAAAACCCTTGGTTCTCTCACGTTTTCCATCACACTTGGTACAGGCTCTTTCTTCCAAGTCCTTTGTAGGGTATTATCATCACCTTCCCCCAACTTGTGGCACCCAGGAAAAGGCATGTTTGAAGGTGGGATGCAGGGGGTATTTGACTCCAGCTCTGGCTCTGTTTCAGGAGAGTGAGCCCATTTCACGCTACCTGCACGTGGGGATTGGCACGGAGCTGCGGCAGAGACTGGCCAGGATGGGCATGGACATGCTGCTAAAGATGGTAGGTGCTTGGCTGGGGCTGCAAGAGAAGGTTGTTTTCCTGCAGAAACTATTCAGTTTGGATAATAAGACAATGAGGCTGAAGAGGGAACCCATTTGCTTCCTACCTGTACCTGGTCTGGGTAAAGCCTGGGCTGGACTCGGCCCTGCTGAGGCTCTGACAAGGAGCTCTGCCACTGCAGAGGGACCATCTGCCTGCACACAGTAGGACTGGCCTGTGCACCCTGGTCAGCCTTTGCTTAGGACACCCACCAATCCATTCAATGAATATTCACCTATTACCCAAGTACCTTAAAGTGCAACATTATTAGCAAATGTCATGTGCTGTGCAGAGATTGTGGATGTGACTCAGAGAGAAAACAATGAACTGATTTCTTAATTTATCCAGTCCTCTAAAACTGCCTTTTTGTTAGGGAGAACTAAATCTGGAGTAAAGACAACAAACCTGGCCAGGTTCAGCTTCTGGCTATCTAGTTCTTCTGTGGCTGAAATAATCCCAAAAAGTCTGGAAAGGAGTGTTGAGAGGGTGGTACAAGTGTCTTGTGAGGGGCTGTGAGAACCAGCAGGGAAGATTGCAAAAGCTCCTGACAGTTCTGAGTGTGTGGGCAGTGCGTGTCAGATGAAATGCTGCTGCTAACTGCAGTATTGTGCTAGGGCAATAGTGAACCTCTGCTTCTGGCTCCAGGTAGTATGACAGGCTCTGAAATAGCTTTTACCACTCAGAAAACAATGCTGGAACCAGAATAGCTTTATGCTACAATTGGTTTCAAATTTTAGGAGTAGGAAAGAATTAAAGGGCAAAGAAACAACTTTATGTCTGTAAGTAAAACAAATACCTCTTTCTTGAGTACTCTGTAGTTGATGCCCAGGAATCTCCATTGCAAGGGCTGTAATAGAACTAGAAGAAGTGCAGAGGAAGGCAGATAGGATGATTATTCATGTGGAATGGCTTCCATACCAGAATGGTGAAATAATTTGGACTCTTAACTCTGGAAAGCAGAAAGATGAGTAGCTTATGACAAAGATTATGCAGTCATGAGTGCACGAGAATGAATATGGATCTGTTGTGTAGGGTTTCTCAATAAGGAGGACATAAAATTAGCAGAAGTATTTTTTTTCGGGCAACACCAAAACCATATTTTTTCAGACAGCTCTAATTATTTACATGGCAGTTGAAAAAATTCATAGGAGAAATCCATTAAATGCAAAGATAATCTCTTTGGGGCAGGAAGTCCTACAGTCCCAGGTTACCAGGAGGGTAGTGGCAGGGGGGTGGGGGCCTGGAAGTACTGTTTGGTTCTTGTCCTCTTGCCAGTCCTTTTTGGTGCTAACTACTAGCAGAGTCAGAGAAGGGCTACACAGATTTATTTCCTCTACTCTTGTTTTCCTTACTTTTCAATAGAGTTGTTATGTGGGTTGGTGTCCCGCACTAGACAAACGTAACCAGTCACAGTAACCTTTGTCACTGAATGGCAAGCAGCCTATTCTTACTGCATTACTCTTTGCTAAGGCCCACCACTGTGCCCCAGTTTAGAGCTGATTGCCAAAGGGCACTGCCATTCCCTGCTGGGACTCCTGGCTGTCCTACCTGACCTCTAGCAAACACTGAGTTGCTTCACACAGCTCTGCTGACTTCCTGAGTACCCGAGCTGGTCTCCAGCAGAAGCCACCTGCTGTGGTGCTGCCCAGGGTGATGCCCCATCACTGGTAATGACAGAGAACAGACCACAAACAACCCTCTGCCGTTTGCCTGGGGGCTTTTGGTGTCACCAGGTTTGATTGGAACGAGCTGCTCTCACACTTACCTGTCCTCCAGATCTTCATTGACAACTTTGTCCATGCCGACCTGCACCCCGGGAACATCCTAGTTCAAGGCACGGCGCGGCCGGGCAGCACCCGCCCGGACCTGTGTGACAGCCAGGTGCCAGAGCTGTGTGACAGCCAGGTGCCAGCGGTGCAGCCAGCCCCGCGGCAGCTGCGCCTGGTGCTGCTGGACGCAGGGATCGTGGCGGAGCTGCAGAGCGCCGACATGCAGAACTTCCGCGCCGTGTTCACAGCTGTGGTCCAGGGACAGGTGAGGCCCCTCTCCGGCATGGGGCTGGCTGGGGAAGGGAGATGGCTGCGGAACCCGATGGCCAAAGTGAGAGTTTTCTATTTCCTCTTGAAATGCCAAGAGGGGTAAGGAGCCTTGCTAGCTTATCCCCAAACACAGGGATAAGTTGTTCAGCTGTAGCAAGGAGGCTGCCAGAGTGGAGCAATTTCTGGGCCCCTGGAACTAGAAGATGCTAAATGGGAAGTATTGGCTGCCCCTTCCTGGTTAGGAGTACTTCTGCTGGAAGTTAGGACTGCTTGGGCGTCACTGTTGCAGAATCTGTCAGGTTTTGCTACAGAAGAGGAGGGAATGGGTTAACATCTTGATCTGCCCCACATGTTCCCTCTGCAGCCTTGCTGCTGGAAGGCCCATGTGCCTTCCTCCATTTTGCTGTTGTGCCAGCATCTATAGAGGGGAAGGAAAACAGGTGTGTGTGGAGGGGTCTGCCTTTGCTAGGCTCCTCCATGTGAGGGGAACTACATTATCCTCCTCCCCCTTGAAACTCACTGTCAGATGGACTAGAGAACCCACTGCTGGAGTCTCCTGTTCATTCTGGGAACAAGCATTGTGCTCCTACTTGCCTGTTGCTGTCTCTCAGCTGCAGGGTGAAGGGCTCACTAACACAGCTCAAGAGGGACACATTTTGTCTTGGTCTGCTGAAGCATGCCAAAGAATCCATGCCAATCCTGTATCCAGGCTGGTCTGCTGAAGCATGCCAAAGAATCCATGCTAAACCCTGTATCCAGGCCCATCCTGTGCTGCCAGGGGCACTTCTCAGCTACTAAAAGCAAGAACTGCAAGCATCTGATTGCAAGTCACCAGTTACCAGGTTCTGTTTGTGCTGTTCAACTTGTTTCTCAGGGGGAGAGGGTGGCAGAGCTGATCCTCCACCACGCCCGTGCCAACCAGTGCCAGGACATCGAGCGCTTCAAGGCTGAGATGGCAGAGCTTGTGACCAAGGTCCGGGGGAACACCATTGCCTTGGGCAAGGCAAGTGCACCGTGTCTCTGTCCCACTTACCTGCAATTCAGTGCAACTTGGCACTGAAAACTGAAACAAAAAGATTTCTTTGGTCAGCTGTTAAAATTCTCCTTGTGTATTCCAGCTTCAGGTGGGAAATCTCCTTTCGAGTGTCTTCAAACTATTGATGACCCATAAGGTGAGGTCCTGTCCCTGTCTGCCTTTAATAACTGAAAGTTCATCTGGGGAGGGAGTACTGGGAACATGAGGGGCTAACAAGGAGGGGGACTGACTTCTGAAACAAACCGCTAGGAGAGGAACTGCAGGAATGCATCCAAGTGTTGCAGGCATGCTGTTTCTCAGGTCTTACACACACTCCACCAAGCCTAATTTCTGTTTTGGGTTTGGGTTTTTTTGAGGGGGTAGGGTTTGTTTTATTTTGGGTTTGTTTTTTTTTTGTGTCTTAATACTTCATTTAATGGTTGATATTGTCTACTAAAAGGAGTACTTTTTGTAACACATAGTTTTTGCTACCTTTTTAATAGTCCCTTAGACTATAGATACCTCCTTATAACTGATTATTTGGGGGACAAATTTCCACAGATGCAAGCAACTTTGGAAATCAAAAGACCTGTGGTGGCTTGAACTGGGGTTGTCAGCCACAAGGCTGCACAGTCCAACTAGTGGAGTTGCATTATAGTTTCAGGTGTGCAAATGCTCTCCCCAGCCTCTTCCCTTCCCTCCCAGCTTAGGCAGAGCTGGTGCCTTGGTTGAAGGGGTACAGAAGAAAGTAATATCCACTGAGTCCATTCAGTCTGTTGTGGTTCTAGGTGAAGCTCGAGAGCAATTTTGCTTCCATCATCTTTGCCATCATGGTTCTGGAAGGACTGGGACGTTCACTGGACCCTGAACTGGACATCCTGGAGGCAGCTAAGCCACTGCTCATCAAAACTGCAGCTTCTGCCCTCAAATAGACTCCTGTGGCTGCTGCCCTCTCCCTGTGGGGGGTTACCTGTGCTGCCTGTGAGCTGACACAGAGGAAGCTGCAGGTGAGGAGTCACAGGTACCCCAGGGATGTGGTGTGCAGTAGTTGCTCTCCACTAATCCTGCCTTCAGTCATTTCAGCCAAGCACCAGGCATGGGATGATCAGAAGGTCTATTCCAGAAAGCAGGAAGAATTTGCACAATTGGACATTTCCCACTCATTGCACAGTTCCGAGAGCTAACGTGCTCTGGTATTTTTTAAAAACATCTTCAGAAAGATGTTAATTGATCAAGTCTGTTTTAAAATATATCAGGTTAAATATTTAATTTACTGACTTACCTGCACTATGGTATGAGAAATTATGTTCTAGCACCACCTAAGCAACACTTTTTTTTTCAGGCTGAAAAAAGCTGAACAATAAATGTGTTTGTCTTTTGTACTTTTAACTTCTACTTTTATTGTAGAAGTGTCCTAACATCCTGCATCTAGTGGTCTGCTCTTACTCATTCTGGATGACAAAACCAGACCATTGAAATTTTTTTTCAAACTTCTGTACTCTAGTACATTATGATAGGAGTTTGGATTATAAACAGCATAATAAAATACTTACCTAGGCAGAAAAACTTAATTCCATAATAAAAAACAACTTCTGGGAATATTTGTCCTGGTCTTAATTTTTCTGTTTCTGAAACTCAAGAGGTTTCTTTTTTTCTTCTTTGTGCGATTTTCTTTACTACCCTCCCTGGTGCTCCCCTGGTTCTACTGTACTCAAAACCTTAACTGATATGCAGATACTTACAGTTTTTTTCCCAGCAGGTTTCAAACCAGAGTCCAAGCCTTTTCCTGATGAATCAAAACCACACTGCGAATGTTTAAAATAAAATAAAGCTAGCAGAAGAACTGGATTACACGTGGCATTTACAGTCAATTATTTTAATAGCGGTATTAAAATGATTTTATGGCTGCATTTTAATACAGAAATAGTCTATGAATGATTGGAAATAATGTGGTACTGAATATATTCCCAGACCTACCCTGTGTGAAATAGCAGTAGAGCAGGGTCTCTGCAGTGGTCTGTTCTCAGGTGGTTAAGCAATGAAGAGAAAGTGCATAAGCAGACAATCTCCTGTTTTATGGTGATTATAAAGCAATGATTAATAGCATATAAATGAAGTCTCAAAATAAGTTTAGATTCAGCTCAGTATATTTAATGTACTTTCCTTTAATCATTGCATATTCCATTTCCAAGAGCGTAAGAATAAAAGCAGGAGTAGAGTTTAGCACCTTGAAAGTTTGAGGCTTGTTTCTTTAAGTCTAGTTAGAGTCAGAAGCAGGCAGAGCATCGTCCTAACCAGCACAAGAGTTTATGTAAGAAAACTCAAACAAGAAGAGAAGCAACCCCTGCAAACATTACCCTGAAGAAAAGGTCCATGTGCACCCAGCACCCATGTTCCCTCAGCAGGGTGTGTGCCAGGTCTGGGTACAACCATCCATGCTCTTGCTGAGCAAATTCCAGCCAACTTTTCCAGACACTCAACCGAGTGGAAACTGTTCCAAATGATGGGATTTCATGTCTAAAATGCAAAAATGTACCTCACATGTAGTTTCCATAATCTGAGGCAAGTTACAGTTTTTTCAGACCTTAACTCTGACATTTTGTTTGTTAAAGCTTCACCTTCTATTTAAGTTCATCTTTCCTTTTCCCCTTTTTTTTTCTTTAAGCAAAAATCTCAGGATGGGTCATGCACTTACATTACGGATCCTGAAGTTTAAAAATGCCCATTTTAGCTATTAAGGGCTCAGTAGTTTGTAAACAGCTGGATGAGAGACTTAACTTTGTCTTTTTAGGGAAAAGCTGAAGGCATAGCCTCTCTATTATCCCTGGAGGAATGCATTCTGACACTTACTGCTGGCCGACTGCTGGCCATTCAGATTTGGCAGGATTTCAAAGGAGCTCCCTTTTACAAGTTTTCTTAATTTTACTTTTTTCTTTGTGTGTTTTTTTTTTTTAAGAAACTGCTATTATCACTGTTGCTGTATTCTAGAAGGAGGCATAAATTTTTATAATGTGCCAGAAAATGTGTATCATGTTTCCAAGTGTATACAGAATGTCAGGCCAAATTGAAATTATGTATCTTAGTTTGTCTCTAGGCATTACTTGAAACAAGGTATCGCATATATTGTATTCATTTTAGCATAATTCTGTGTAAAATAAAGATATTTCCATATAGCCCTGGCTGTTTCAGCAAATAAATTGTGCCATGTCCATTCTCCTTTCCTCAATACCTGACTGAAATTTCTGGCTACCCAGAACTGATCAGTGCATTTCCTGTGGCACATCCACAGGGACTTTTGTACCTCAGATGATAAGAGGAAGAGGGAGCACTTCAGGATGTGACATGCTTAACCTCCTCCTCCTCTCCTTTGGCACCTCCACTCACCACAGTGCAATGCACTAAAAACCCTCCTTTCTGATGCAGAAAAGTGCCTCTAGATGTGCCCTGCTGCTCCCTCTCAGGGGAGGGGGAAGCCAGTGACCCCAGGAAGAAAGGCAGGTGAAGGACAGAGCAGTGGAACTGCACTCTGGCTGCAGTGACAGGGTGATTAGAGACCTCTCCAGGAATCCAAATGCCACCTGTCACGACTGCTGTGGCACACTGACTCACAGCTGACAGGACACCGCAGGTCTGTGAACTGCTCCAGGCCCTGCTCACCCACTGTGCAGCTTCCTTAGGTGAGCATGGATGCCTGGAGCAGCAGGAGCTTCTGTTCCCTGAAGTACTGCTGCAGGGCACGGAGTTTCTGGCCTTTTTCCATCTTCAGATGAGAACTCTCTCCTCTGGAACACTCTCACTTTGGCAGCCTGGTGCTGCTTTTGCTGTTTGTCCTGCTCCTGGGATTCTTGTTCCAGCACTTCCTGCCATGACTGCATTCTGCTCCTCAGCAACTCCTACATAAAGACATTCAAAACTTTGAATGTCTTTACAGTCAGCCTTCATGCCAAATTTCATCTTCACTTTTCATCTCTGTCCAGCTCTGGGGCTCCCAGCATGGACATGGATCCGCTGGAGTGAGTCCAGAGGAGGATCACAAAGATGTTCAGAGGGCTGGAGCACCTCTGCTATGAGACCTGGGGTTGTTCAGCCTGGAGAAGGGAAGGCTCTGTGGAGATTTTAGAGCACCTTCCATTGCCTAAAGGGGCTACAAGAGCTGGAGAGGGACTTTTTACAAGGGTGTGGAGTGATGGGACAAGGGAGAATGGCTTTAAACTGAAAAGAGTAGGTTTAGATTAGATATTAGGAATAGATTCTTTCCGGTGGGAGTGGAGAGCCACTGGCATAGGTTGCCCAGAGAAGCTGTGGATGCCCCATCCCTGGCAGGTTGGACAGGGGGCTCTGAGCAGTCTGGTCTAGCGGAATGTGTCCCTGCCCATGGCAGGGGAGTCGGGACTAGATGAACACAATCCAAATCATCCTACATTACTAAGATTCTCACTAGTCAGAAATGGATATAATCTATGGAAATTCATTTCTTGCATGCAGAAAGACTTCTTTTGTGGCAGAGATAAGGAATTTTACTTTCTACTTTTCATCTTTATACACATGTCAAAAAAAGGTTACCCTTTTTTATCTCTAAATGATACAGTTATACTGGATGTAAAACAGCTGAAATATACAAATACTCCAGATATTTGTATATGTACTTCCACTGCTGGAAACATGGCAGAAAAAAAAATCTGGAACTGTCCTTACCAGCCTTTCTTTCTCTTGTTCACAGCTCCTTTTGTTGCTTTCTGTCTGCAACTCCTCTCTCTGCAAACGCCGTGTCTTTAAGAACTGAAGCCTCTGCCTTGCCTTCCTCTCCTCCCCCTGAAAGAAGGATTCCTTCCTGCTCCTCTCAGCCCCAGCAGCCTGGAGCAGTGCCATGTGCTGCAAAGCTCTCTCTTTGTGTTCCAGCTGTTTCTCCAGCCCTTGCAATATTCTCTGACGCAATCGCCGCCTGTTTCCAAAACAAAATTTCTCAAATTTCTCATAAAGAAAGAGCAATAAAAAATAAAGACAGTGCATAAGACACAAAGCAGATATTTTGGCAATCTGCGTTCAGTTAACGTTCCAGGACTTTTTGTTAAGTTATGAGGATTAAACCTATGTCCAGAACAGAGGTAGCAAAAGCTCCAAACAGGCTGGTGCCTGATGTCAGCGGTTTTGGTCTGAGAACAGGATTGAAGGGAATTTGCCCTTGGAGAAAATGCTGTGCACCCACTCCCTCCCACCTCCAGCACCAATTTTATTCCCAGTAGGGAACCACTATGACACCTCTGCAGAGCCCAGAAAAAAGCACAAGATGGGATGTGCAGCGACTGAAGGAGAGCAGCAGGGAGCAGATGCTGCTGACCTTCCAACATTTAGCACAAGAAGCAGTCAGTTCCCAGCATCACCTCTGGCTGTCCCTGTGCAGCTGGCGTTGGGTGCCATCTGCCTCTTGCTGCTGCTCCCTCTTCAGCTGCCTCTGTTCTTGCCACTTTTTGTGCTCAATCTTGGCTCTGCTGAAGTCCAGCTCCTTCCACTTCTTCTGAGACACACCACTAAGGGATGATTTCTAGGAGAAAAAAAGCAAACTGAACCCTTAATCCCAACAGTATATTCTTCTAATGCACACTGTAAGCACACAAAACCAGAACAGCCCAGTTTTAATGTCACTCCTGAGGCCTAGAAGCTACAAAGGCTCACAAAATATTCTAGTGTTGATTCCCATCCATGAAAATACTGAGGATGATACTAAAACCCATAGAAAACATTAGGCTTAATCAACAGAGAGGTGCCTGAACACCCAGTCTTCAGAATTCTCCATAGGTCACTAAGCTGTGCTGTTCTGGTGTTGAGCCAATGCTTAAAACTCCCCAGTTTTTGGGTCAGCTTCTGGATTGGATAGAAAATCCAGGTTCTGACCATAAAACAGATTTTATTAGCAAGAGAAATACCTGCCCCATCTGGCCAAGCCCAAAACATTCCCGAGTTCTCTGCAGGTATTCCAACTCTTCACCTTTTGATGTCTGAGATTTCTACCCATGCTCCAGCAGTCTTTGTGTTTTCTTCAGCACTAGCTTCATTTCAATGCTGTAGTGCTGCTGATTTGTATTTTTAAATGCCTGTGCCATGTACAGAGATGAAGGAGCACCTACAAGGCCTCTTCACAGCCATAGTGAAATATTTATTTGTTTTTGTACTTACAGTGCTCTTTATGAGGCAAGTGCAAGTAAACACCACCAAACCTTTAGACTGTATTCCAGTTTACATTGCTAGAGCTGTGTGGAGCTGGAACAGAGTTCCCCCAAAATATTTTCCTCTGTCAAATGCATCCTCCTTCCTCCTATTCTCAAGAGCAGTTAGCATGCTCCTGCTATCAGCTCCTCCTCTGCAAACAGAATGTCTCCTTCCAGTGCTTTCCTGGGGACAACTCGAATACCAAAAGCTGGAAAACACTACAGGACTTTCAAATCATGTTCCTGCCAGTCTTACACAGCATTGTGACTGGTTTCTCTTAACACATTGATCTGTATGGCTTCCCAGGGGCTGTAAACAGCTTTGCTCTCCAGTGTATTGCTATTCTTAGCAAAAGAATGCACCTTGTGGGTGTGTTTAATGACACACACAAG